ATGCAAAACATGATCCTCACTCCTTTTGGCTATCTTCCAGCCCTTCCCCAGTCCAGGGAGTACCACGGTTACTTCACTGTCATAATTCCGGAATGCTTATTCAGGGCTTATTCATAGGATAGTAAGCAGTGCAAGATAAAACAGCTGGTCTGTAACCAAGGACACAACAAAAGTTATGTCTGGCATTAGTCTGAACGAGATAAGAAAGTTTTGTTTTGTTTTTTTTAAGAATGAGTCATCATATACTCATGCATTTTCAACACTTTACCTGAACACTTTACCAGTTTATCCAACAGCTCACTTAGCACATCTTGAAAGCTTCAGCTCATATCTCAGTCCTAAAACCAGTTGTTCTCTAGGTATTCAGACCCCTGATCTGGAAGACAGGGACAGGTAGCAGAATGAAGCCCCCCTAATCCAAGGGCAAGTGCTCAGTGACCTGCTATACCATTTACACACATACAAGTCTGTGGGGCCAGATGAGAGCCACAGGAGGGTCCTGAGGGAGCTGGCTGAAGAGATCACTGAGCCACTGTCCATCATTTACCAGCAGTCCTGGTCAACCAGAGAGGTCAAAGGTGACTGGAAGTTGGCAAATGTGACACCCATCTATAAGAAGGGCCAGAAGAGGATCTGGGGAGCTACAGGCCCATCAGTCTGACCTCAGTGCCAGAGAAGGTCATGAAGCAGATCATCTTGAGTGCCATCATGCAACACGTACAGGACTACCAGGGGATCAGGCCCAGACACCATGGGTTTGTGAAAGGTGGGTCCTGCTTGACCAACCTTATCTCCTCCTATGACAAAGTGATCTGCTTAGTGGATGAAAGAAATGCTACAGATGTTGTCTACCTAGACTTCAGTACCATCCAGGCTCACTTGGCCCTAGCAGATGAACCTTAGGATTAAAGAGTGGGCTCAGTTCCGCGCACACTGTGTCTCACCTAAAAAATCCAATGCGCAGGCTGGAAGGTGTAAAGACCTTCCCCGGATCTTCACTCGCGAAGACTGGCCATTATTATAGACTTCAGTAAAGTTTTTGACACTGTTTCCTACAGCATTCTTATGGTGATATTGGTCTCTTCTCCCAAGTAACAAGTGATAGGACAAGAGGTGGTGGCCTCAAGTTGTGCCAAGGGAGGTTTAGACTGGATAGTAGGAAAACTGTCTTCACAGAAAGAGCTGTCAAGCCCTGAACATGCTGCCCGGGAAATGGTGGAGTCATCATCCCTGGAGATATTTAAAAGACATGTAAATGTGGCAGCGGGGGAGATGGTTTAGTGGTGGACTTGGCAGTGCTGGGTTAATGGTTGGACTCGATGGAGTTGAGTCTTAGACAACTTAAGGTCTGTTCCAACCTAAATGATTCTGTGATTCAAAATGCTCTCTCTTGAAAATACCACAGGAAAACATTGATTTGTTATAAAATAGCACTTCTATGTGCACTTTCCATTTGAGAATTTCAAAACACATTACAGACATTAACACAATACTATGAGTGTCACAAATGCCTGGGAAACTATAAAATAAATATTGTCTCTCACAGGATCCTTCTGAACAAAATGTCCAGCATACAGCTGAATAACCATGTTACATGATGGATGAGCAACTGGCTCACAGTTCGGGCACAAAGAGTTACAGTGAGTGGGGTAACACCAAGCTGGTGTCCAGTCACTAGTGGGGTTCTGTAGGGCTCCATCCTCAGCCCAGTGCTCTTCAACATCCTCATGTATGACTTGGATGCAGGACTGGAAGGCATATCAAGTTTGCTAACAACACTGAATCGGGAAGAGCTGTCAACTCCCTCAAGGGCAGAGAGACCTTGAAGAGAGACCTTGAAAAATCAGAGAGATGGGAATCAACAACTGTATGAAGTTTAACAAGGGTAAGTAACAGATTCTGCACCTCGGATGGAGTCAGACTAGGGAATGAGATGCTGGAAAGAAGTGCCCTGGAAAGGGACCTGGGGATCCTGATTGATGGCAGGTTGAATATCAGTCATCAGTGCACCAGGAGGGCCAACCGTGTCCTGGGGGACATCAGGCAAAGCATCGCCAGCCGGTTGAGGGAGGGGATTGTCCTGCTCTGCTCTGCACTGGGGCAGCCTCATCTTGAATATTGTGTGCAGTTTTGGGCACCACAATGTAAGAAAGTTATTAAGCTTTTAGAGAGTGTCCAAAGGAGGGTAACGAGGATGGTGAAGGGCCTTGAGGGGAAGCCATATGAGGTCACTTGATCTGTTCAGCCTGGGGAAGAGGAGACTGAGGGGAGATCTCATTGCAGTCTTCAGCATACTCATGAAGGGGCAAGTACTGATCTCTTCACTCTTGCGACCAGTGATAGGACTCAAAGGAATAGCATGAAGCTGAGGCAATGGAGGTTTAAGTTGTAAGTTAGGAAAAGGTTTTTTACCCAGGGGGTGGTTGGGTACTGGAACAGGCTCCAGAGGGAAGTGGTCACAGCACCAAGCCTGACAGAGTTCAAGGAGCATTTGGACAACACTCTCAGGCACATCATGTGACTCTTGCAGATGGTCCTGTGCAGGGCCAGGAGCTGGACTCAATGATCCTGATAGGTCCCTTCCAATTCAGGATATTCAATAATTCTATGAAAACACAGTTTATTCCTTGTATAGTATTGATTCTGTAAGGTTACAAATTTTCAAAAGCAGGAAATACTTGGTTTTGCACTACTTTTCACTCAAATCTCTGGAACAACTGCATGCTTTCACTAATTTTTCAGGGCAAAATTTCAAAACCATGACTACATATAATCACAGGTTTCTGCCTTGGTTTTTTGTTTGTTTGTTTGTTTGCTTGTTTTAATACAGTAATATGAGAATTTTTAAATGTGATTACTGATCTAAGAATTTTTTGGATTTTCATGTTAAGCTTCCTTAAAAAATGCCAATTTTCAGAGCACTGATACCCAGAACCTCCTGGCAAAACCACCTGATGATGACTGAAATGGCATCTTAAGAACTGAGGCACCTTTATTCACAGTTCAGTTCTGAAAGTGTGTATAAAGCAATCATAAAGGTGCATACATGTGTACAACTATAGTGATTTGATCAACACAGTGCTGCTACAGGCAGGGTAACTCTTGATGCCTTCCTGGAAACTGCATGTCTACCTGAAAGATTTCTGCAAGTTTAAGAAAAGAGAATTTATCTGAAAAAAGGACACAGATATCAGCAAGATGAAAATACTTCCAGGACATCGTGGACATATCCCACTTCATTGACAGACTTCATAGACCTATCACACTTCTACTTCACATTACTTTGCTTTTAATTATATATACTAACATTTACTTCAAGGTTGTTTTTCTTCTCTGTAGCTTTAGTTTCTCTGCCTAATTAAAACAGAGTGAGCCCAAGGCTTCATACTTAAGCAAGGTGCTGCACCTGATAAATTCAGTCAGGAAGAGAGGAAAACTCTGCTAAGCAGGTCATAATTTTATAAAAGCTTGATCACAACTTTTCATACCCTTGCGATCTATTACTTCTCAAATAAAATCAGGAAAAATGACATGTAATATCTGAATGTTCTTTAGGAAAACTGCTCCCTTTTTCCACCACCAGAGGAATGTTCTTAATCCTTTTTAGCTGACTCTGTGCATCATGAAGTAGCACAGAGCCCAGTTTTTGCCCTTTACCCTCTGCCAACTCCACCTCTCATGTAACTCCAAAGCGATCCAGGAAATTTGCGAACAGCTTTGTATTTTGCACAACCTAGTATTTTTGTAGAAAAGGAGAACTCATTACAGACCAGAATAAGAAACAGAAGAGAAAAGAACTTCTAAGAGCAGCAGCAGTAAGTACATTTCTATGCATAGTTTTTAAAAGTGAGTCCAGAAGATGCCTTTTCTACACACCTTTGACACACTTAACCTCCTTCCTCAGAGTCCAGAGGACTACCACTGCTTCACAGTGCCCACTACTCACAGGAACAGAAGTGTTATCATTATAATTTTTCCTCTTATAAATAAATTTCTAATAAAAAAGGATGGCTTCCTCTTCTCTGGCTCTAAGGATTGCACTAAAAGTGAGAAACCTTGTGCAGTGGCAGTAAAGCCAGGAGGACCAATTTGAACGCACATGGGTAGTAATGCTACAGAAGTAAGATGGTACAAATATCATGTAGCAATTTTTCTGACAGTTCCCTACTTTAACTGGTAGAAAATCAATAACATTAAGACCGAGGGTCACAGCCTTTGCAAAGAGTTACATCAACGCAAAAACAGAACAGACAAAGCCAAAAGAGATTAGAACCACAGATATCCCAAGGGACAGATGAAATCATGGGTTATGGTGTTTTTAAAACACAAAAAAAAGGTTATTCCTTCAATCATCCCCCAAATGTCTTGTCTCCTAGTTTTTCACAGTTTTCTAAATTAAGACATGAAGACTGCAGTCAGAATGCTACTGTATTTCACTCAAAAGCATAAAGTCTCTTAGTGAAAAGGGTTAAACACTCTCCTATTTGCAGGCATACTTCTAGAAAATTGGTGCTATACTTACTGCTCAAAGCTAAGCTTGCTTGTGCCAGCAGCAAGCTTCTACTCACAAACAGCAGTCACAGAAGACAGAGTGTTCCCTGTCATAACAGTCACAGCTAAAACCAGGCACAAAGAGCAGGCAGCATGACAGCAAAACAAAAGTGAAAGGTTTCTACTCCTGCCCCAAAATCCCCGTGCAGGTAAGCTCTTCAAGGATTACCTTTCATTTCCACAATGCACTAGTGAAGTGCACTAAAAGCTCAAGGAACTTGTATGCCTGTGCCAACTGTGACTCAGATAAGCCCATCCTAACACAAAGAGACACTGGTCATGCCTTAAAAGCAAAGGACACTGACTGCCCCCCACCCCAAATAAGCAAGTGGCTCCAGAGTGCCAACTTCTCAACGCACCTAGAATAACCACAGAGGCTGAAGGATACAGCCCATCTGACCGAGCACTGCTGGTGTAGCTTTATTTAAATTCTATTCATTGTTTCTCACCTGTCTTTTTGGCAAGTCATGATATTGTAGTATGAGCCTGGTGTTGACGCTGTGACTCCACGTGTTGCCAAGGGCTGCTGTCACACAACCAGAATCCCTCTTTCCACTTATGGAAGCCCCTGAAGACAAATATGAAAGAGGATGCATCAGGACTGTGCCACAGAGAAGGGTTCAGTATGGAAACTCTAATCAGTCATCTCAGATCATTTCCTAACTCAGGTAATCACAAATGGTACTTAATAGATCGCACTGCTGCATTATTTTCCTACCTTTCTTGTTTATTTATAACACTACAGTGTGAGTTCTCCATCTTGCCCTCTGATACCTAGACAAAGTGCCAAGAATTAAAGAGATGTTGCAAAGTAGTACCTACCTTCTTGGAGAGATCAGTACATTTTCTAAATATCTGGAGGTGTACCATGCATGGGGGACACTTATCTTTTCCTCTTTAGATATTCTATCACCAAGCAAACCAGCTTTCTATGAGCACAGAGGAGAGGGAAGCAGGCCAGCAGAGTCAGAGTGTCTAGTGACATAACAAAAAGGGAAGCTTAAGGAGCAGAAAGTGCTGCCAGAATACCCTGCCATAAAAATCAGAATACTGATTCATGCCATCAGGCATCCTACACATTTTCTAAGATTTGCAAAGAAGGGAGCCCCTTGGCTGTAACTACCATTCTGGTGTCTCTTAAATCATATGAATTTTATACAACCCTAAAGGATAATGCAATTTGTTGCAATCAGCAATGACAACATAAAGAAGCATTTCCAATAATGCCACATGATGCAGCTTGCTGAAATGCCATTGCACCTGAACTTTCTCATACCACAGCCAGAGATTCATACATACACACATACAGATATGCAGGCAGGGAGGGTGCCTAAGACCTTCATCTTTACTTATCACAAGTTTTGTGTAAGATGAACAGATAGATGGGTGACCTGTTTGTACAAATGACACTTCAAGAATAGTAAAAGTCAGACAAACCCAAGAAATTCAGAAACAAAATCCTAGTTATGTGGGTGTAAATGATCACATGCAAGTTGAAAATTGAACTGTTTGAGGCAGACAGTCCATACTGTTAAAAAGCCAAGAGTGAGTAAGAAAGTCCTATGACTTGAGCACAAGTCCTACGAGGAGAGGCTGAGGGAGCTGGGGTTGTTTAGACTGGAGAGGAGGAGACTCAGGGGTGATCTCATCATTCTCTACAACTACCTGAGAGGAGGTTGTAGCCAGGTGGGGGTTGGTCTCTTCTCCCAGGCAATCAGCAGTAGGGCAAGAGGGCATGGGCTTAAGATCTGTCAGGGGAGGTTTAGGTTGGATATTAGAAAGAAGTTCTTTACAGAGAGAGTGATCAGGCATTGGAATGGCCTGCCCAGAGAGGTGGTGGATTCACCGTCCCTGGAGGTTTTTAAGACGAGGCTGGATGTGGCACTGAGTGCCATGATCTGGTAATCACAGTGGGGCTGGATCAAGGGTTGGACTTCATGATCTTGGAGGACTCTTCCAACCCAGTTAATTCTATGATTTAAAGTCAGGTAACTGCTTGTCATTTATCAGGTAGCAAACAAAATTGCTTTCCCAGGACAGTTGTGAAATCCATGTCAACTGAACAAATGAAAGTTAGACCAGATACTTTCTTTATGTTTCTTTCAAAATAATCAGTAATGCAACAGTTAATGTAGAAACCTAAATTATAAGTATTAGGTTTTGGAAGCAAAACTGTACTGAGATGACAAAAACATCTTGTAGCCCAACAGAGCTTCTGGAAGATTCAGGTTTAAAACTCTCCATTACTTCTACATTTACAAGGTTGTGGGGTTTGTTACTCACTCTCCCCTCTCCCCCAGTTATTCAGAGCAGAAGCATAATTTCTTCATCCACTAAAGCTTTCATTTTGGAAAAACATCCAGTAAAGAATAAGACCAAAAGTGTTGACATGCAGTAATAATCATGATTTATATCACTGCTGGTAACTTGTAAGCAATGAGGACACTTTATTAGACTGCATTAGGCAGAAGAGAGCAGCAGGCTGGAGAGAGGGACCTGGAACGATTGCAGTGCACTACAGGATTTAGCTGAAGGCCTCAAACCTTCCACCCTGCACCAAGTAATAAAAGGTTCAATTAATATCAACTGGATTTGGATTAGGTCTTTAAATTAAAGGTCTACAAAAGAAACGAGTGAAGCACCTGGTTCAAGACAATAGTTTGAAAAGAGGCTGGACTCCGTACTTGCCTGAATTACTGCCCACATCATGGGATTTCACTCCCACGTGCACAACACTTGCATCTCCAGAACACCTGTTCTAGTCCAAAAACAGGCTACAATTGTGCCATCCAGCAAGGATGGCTGCTTCTCTTTACTTAAATATCTTGATAAGCAGCACACTTCCACCTGAATAACTTATCAGAGGAGTACCTAAGTAGAAGCTTCAGTATCAAGAATGCTCTTCTGTTAAATAGTGAAACCCATCTCTATTGGGAAGGTGGATGCACTAACAAGAATAATTACTCATCATCTACCTTTTGGATTTAATTTGCCAGCTGGAGGAGGAAACACACTCAAGCAAGGGGCTAGAAGGTCTGTATTTCATTCCCTTAAAATGACTCAAAGTGATTTACTTAATTAAGTTCATTATGTTCCTCAAATTTTTGGTTTGTGCTAACACCACAAAAGTGAAATACTATTACTGTACAAACAGGATAATGGAGAATATAAGCCAGTGGAGCAGCTTTAAAATTTTGCAATCCTCTCATGGAATAAACTGCAGACAACACAGTCTCTCTTTCCCACCTGTTAGAAATGGATAGGAATCACTTAATTCAAGTGAGAGAGCTAAGTGTGAGTTCTTGTGGGTGTGGGGTGTGTTTTCCTCACAGCTGATATAACTGCACCCCTGTAAACCACCACTCCACGCCACCAAGGAGCAATTCACCCACCCCTGCTTGCGGGTCCCTGACTACAAAGAGCCCAGACATTCCAGAAGTAGCTGGTGTTGGCATAAACCAGCCACAAAACTCATGCTCAAAATTCCCTCGAATCATGTGTCTCTGCTATTAGGTAACAGAAGGAGTAACATCTTGCTGTTGCCACCCTGAGCCAGGCATTTAAGCAGTTAAATGTCTGGAACCTGCTGCTATTACACTGTGGAGATATCACTCCACAGAAATTCCTAATTCTGCATTCCTTCCAGGCCTAAAGCTTGTCTCAAAATGAACAGAAATGCTATACGTGTAAGGCTTGTGGCAGAAAAAGCTAATTGCTGTAATTTATTTTATTATATGGGAGAAAGTGCGCTGTACCATACTGTGTCAGCCCCTATCTGAAGAGGGCAAATCCTCTTCTGTGAAGTTATTAAAATTTATGACTTTAGTGCAAAGTAGTTAATAAACCTGGAGGAAATTTACAGCAGAGACTTTTTACAGGGTGGAAAGAAATGCCTCACTGGAAAGGTTTCCATTTTATAAGGGATCCTCCTGCGAACTGATGCATTAGGCAGATAGAGAGGCAAAACAAGAAGTGAAGTAAAACAAGTAGGAAGCAGTGCCAGCTTTGCAAAGAAGTTCAAGGGCAGTGACAACACATGCTGCATTCCTTCTTCTTGCTTTAAACACAAAAAGATAGTAAATGTCTCAGAGGAAGGAAAGAGGATATGTTAAGAAAACAGATTTATGTTGAAACACGGCCTTAAAAAAACCTTGGACTTATCTTTTCTGTTATTTCAACCACTACTTAGTCATTAATGAACTGGACAAAGGAAGTGGATAAATAACACTGTTCAGAGAGAGTGATATTTTTCAGCACACACTGCCTTGTGCTTCCAAACCGTGATATTTTCATGCTTAGACATGGGAGTATCAGACCAACACTGGCCCAAGAAGAAAACAGGCTCATAAGACTTCGGTCTCTGCTTAGAGGTCCCCAAACTCTCCAACCTGAAATACTTCACAGTGGCATGGAGCAACAGCTCTGAGCTGTGACACAAAGGCACTTACCCATGCTATGGGGTGGATGCTTCCACAGAGCCTGCAAAGTGCAATCAGCTGACAGGCAGTAGTTCCAGTCTCTCCAGTCTGCTTAAAGTACAGTTCTTACTCCAGTCACCGCTGGCATGATGGTTTCTGTTCAGGTCAGAGGTGATACAGGGAGGAGAGGAACCAGGGAGAGTGAAAAAAGGTCTGACATGCAGATGAAGGAAAGGTGGTAGATCTCAGTTTATGGCTGCAGTACGTGGGAAAAGGGAGTAGGCATCCAGAAGCAGAGAGATGGGATCCTAGCATGGGGAGGTGAAGGTGCATGATAGAAGACTGTCAGAAGACCTCTGAACAACTCCCTGCTTTATGTATTCAGGTCCACCTCAAGTAAAATGGATGATTGCAATTCCTGTAAACACTCCCTTCTTCCTCACACAAAAAGAACTAGCATTAAATTGATCTTCAAAGGGCACATCAGCAGACAGGCCAAGGACTGCCCAAGGTGTCTGTTCTACTGTCTCCTCTGATATTGAACTCTTTAGGGCACCAGCAGAGACCGTATCTGTTCTGGACTGCAAGCAGGGAAGAGGAACTGGCTGCTTCACTCTCACTGAACAGCTGTCACAAGTGAAAATAAAGCTGCCTGTGGTCTGAATCAAATGCAAAGTTACTGCCTCTCCACCACCAGGGGAAAAGCAAAGAAGAAAGGGTGACTCTTCAGTTGAGGCCTGCAGTGCTGCTTCCAAGCAGAAGAGGCTTGCACTGGGCTCCAGTGCCCAGGAAAGAGCTGTCAGATGAACTGGGCAACACTTGGCTCTACTTATACACGAGGACTAGAATAATTCTGTTTGTTTCTCCCCATCAGTGTAAACAAAACAAACTTCCTGCAAGTAACTTCCTTGTCGCTGAGACGAATGCCACATACAGGCAGGATGGGGAAAGTAGGTTTATTCCACCTTCCATTTTTCACCGGCAGGAACAGTAGGATTAGAGCTATTCAGCTCAATACTGCTTCTGGGATTATTCTAGTATGTCCAATCAGAGCACTGCAAGTACCGATGTGGTCTCAAGGGCCTTCTTGTCCTCTGCATATAAGTAGGCACATTTTACAGACTAAATCCTCATGTAACCAAGTCCCAGT